GATAGGTACATAGGGTGATCTCAAAGGCTGACCTTTTTAGAGTTATTCATCAGAACTCAGTAGATGAAAAGGGGATTTTTACAGTGATGCTATCTTGTCAGATACTATCATTTCATGGCATTGGCAAACTACTCCTGTCTTTTACTGCAATACTACAAAAAGGTGTTCCTTAATATTGTGGAAATACCAGACTATTTATTCTTGCCTATAAAAGAGAATGAAGGTATAAATTATTCATTTTTTAACCTTTTTTTGAAAAAATTGGGGTGACAATTGCTTCATAAAACCATACAGGTTTCAAGTGTACAACTCAATAAAATATCATCTGCCCACTGCATCATGCGCCCATGGCCTCAAGAAAAATCTCTTCCCACCCCATTTTTCCCCTTTGCCCACCTCCACCTACCCTGCACCTCCCTGTCCTCCTGGCTATCACCACACTGTTTTCTGTTTCTATGTGTTTTATACATATATTTCCTTAATCCCTTCACCTTCTTTTCCAAACACCCTTATCATCTGGCAGCTGATAGTTTGTTCTACGTATCCATGCCTATGTTTCTATTTTGTTCATTAGTTCATTTAGTTCATTAGCAAAAATATTTCCTTGGTATACATTCTCTTTACTTTTTAGGAACAATACGCATAGAATGTAAGCTACATTTAGGGCAAATTTTTGTTCGTTTGTTTTATCTTTTATTCAGTGCTATTTACCCAGCACCTATAAACAGTGCCTGACATATGTTAGATGCTAAATAAATATTTTGAATAAATAATGTAATGACTAATTGGTAAAAAAAAATTAGTAAGAATGATATATTTTGATATGATATATATGATACAAAAATAATTTCTGAAATATTTATAGAATCAGTAATTGAAAATTGAGATTCCTGTGGTATACATTTTTATAAAATATGAATTAAAGTAAAATTAGCTAGAATTATACCAAGGATATTTACTTTTGTAAATAAATTAGGCAATGATTAAGACAGCATCTAAATACATTACTACTGTAGGGTGTGAAGATCTGACAGTTAAGATTCCATAATGGATTAGTGAGAGTAAGAAGCACTGCTTTTATCAAGGCCAATACTGTTTCAGGACTTTATCATTTGCATTCATACTTAGTATTCTTTAGTTTGTTTACTTGATTTTGGACTGAGACCAAATGTCTGTGATCTCTTTGGACTTGTTATATTTCAGCTTTCCTTTGTAGATTTGGCTATTTCTCCTTATTTTCCCTCTTCTTTTTCCAAGAGAAAGAGCTTAGATGATCTTTTCAAGTAATGTTGATTTTCCATAGAATGTCAAATTAATACATTATTAATAATTTTCTTTTCACAGAGCGTTTCCATTGTTTAGGAAAATGCAGTTTTTCGTGTGTAAGAGTTCTTTTTAAAATATGACTGTCTTAATCCATTTGAGCTGCTATAAAAGCATACCACAGACTGGGTAGTTTATAGAAAACAGAAATTTAATTCTTACTTTTCTGAAAACTGAGAATTTCAAGATCAAGACACCAACATAGTCGAGTTCTCTGGTGAAAGTCCTCTTTGTGGTTCAAAGCTAGGGCTTTCTGACTCTGTGCTCGCATGATGGAAAGGGCTAGGGAGCTCTGAAGATCGAATGACCTAATCATCCCCAAAGGCCTCACCTACTAATACCATCACCTTTGGGAGTTAGGATTTCCACATACAGATTTAGGAAGAACACAAACATTTAGTCCATAACCGACTTTGTTATTGTGGAGCAGCTTTAGGTTCATAGCAAAATTTACAGGAAGGTACAGAGATTTCCCATATATTCCTGCACCCATGCTTGCATACCCTCCGCCATTATTAACATCCTTACCAGTGTGGTATATTTGTTACAATTGATGAACCTACATCAATGCAATATAATCACCAAAAGTCCACAGTTTACTTTAGGGCTCACTCTTGGTGTTTTATGTTATATAGGTTTAGACAAATGTATAATGATGTGTATTTATCATTATAATATCATGTAGAGTATTTTCACTGCCTTAAAAATCTTTATGATCTGCTTATTCATCCCTCTCCCCACCCCAAATTCTACATAACCTGTTATTTTTACTTTCCCTATAATTTTGCCCTTTTCAGAATGCTATATTTTATTTTATTTATTTATTTTATTTATTTTTTAAATTTTATTTTTGTTTAAAATATTACAGATGTCCCTTTTTCTTCCCAATGACCCGTTAAACCCATCCCTTCCCCCTCCCCAGTCCCTCTCCCCACCATGTCCGTGTCCTTGGGTTGTGCA